ATTAAAAACCTCCTGGAATCCAATGAAAATGAACACACAACAACACAAAATCTATGGGATGCAGCAAAAGCATTCTTGAGAAGGAAATTCATAGCACTACAGGCCAATCTCAAGAAGCAAGAAAAATCTCTAATAGATTATCTAACCTCACAACTTAAAGAACTAGAGAGCAAGTAGAAGGAAGGAAATAGTAAAGATCAGAGCAGAAATAAATGACATGGAGACCAAAAATACAATTCAAAGGTCAATGAAGCAAAGAGCTGGTTCTTTGAAAAGATAAACAAGATTGATGGACCCTTAGCTAGACTCACCTAGAAAGAGAGAGAGGAACCAAAATACATAATCAGAACTGAAAGAGGAGAAATAATAACTGACACCACAGAACTACAAAGGATCATTAATATTATGAACAATTATATGGCGACAAATTTCTAGAAACACAGTCTCCCAAAACTGAACTGGGGAGAGAGAAAACTTGAACAGGCCAATAACAAAAGAAGAAATTTAAGATGTAATCAAGACTCGCCCAGGCCCAGATGGCTTGAATTTTACCAAACATTCAAAGAAGAACTAATACCCATTCTCCTCAAACTATTTCAAAAAATTAAAGAAGGAGGAGGCCAGCATAATTATAATTCCAAAACCAGGAAAAGACACTATAAAGAAAGAAAACTACAGACCAATATCCCTGATGAACATAGATGCCAAAATCCTGAACAAAATACTAGTAAATTAGATCCAGCAATACATCAGAAAAATTATTCACCATGACCAAGTGGGACTCATTCCGGGGATGCAAGGCTGGTACAATATTTGCAAATCAATAAATGTGACATACCACATAAACAAAATGAAAGATAAAAACTATGATTATCAATAGACACTGAACAAGCATTTGACAAAATCCAGGACCCATTTCTGATAAAAAGGCTTAGCAATGTGAGAATAAAGGGATCATATGTCGACATAATAAAGGCCATATATGAAAGACCTATACAGCCAACATCATACTCAATGGGCAGAAACTAAAAGGATTTTCCTTAACAACAGGAACAAGACAAGACACTTTCACCACTCTTATTTAACATAGTACTGGAAGTATTAGCCACAGCAATCAGACAGGAAGAAATAATAAAAGGGATCCAAATGGGAAAGGAGGAAGTGAAACTGTCATTATTCACAGATGACATGATACTATACGTAGAAAACCCCAAAGACTCCATCAAAAATTTACTAGACTTAATAAATGAATTTGGCAAAGTAGCAGGATACAAAATTAATGTCAATAAATTGATGGCATTTTTATACACCAGTGATGAACTCACAGAAAGAGAAACTAAAAAAACAATCCCATTTACCACTGTGGCAAAAAAATTAAGATACCTAGGAATAAACTTAACCAAAGAAGTACAGGACTACAGGTCATTGAAAAAAGAAATAGAGGAAGATATAAAAAAGTGCAAGCACATACCTTGTTCATGGATTGGAAGAATTAATATCATTAAAATGTCCATACTACCCAAAGCAATCTATAGATTCAATGCAATCCCCATCAAAATACCAATGACATACTTCACAGAACTAGAACAAATACTTCAAAAGTTCATATGGAACTAAAAAAGATCCCAAATAGTCACAGCAATCTTGAAAAAGAAGGACAAAGTTGGAGGGATCACATTACCAGATTTCAGGTTATACTGCAAAGCCACTGTAATCAAAACAGCCTGGTACTGGCACAAGAATAGGCATATAGACCAGTGGAACAAAACAGAGAACCAAGGAATGGACCCAAGGCAATATGCTCAATTAATTTTTGACAAAAGTGACAAGAGCATACAGTGGAGTAAAGACAGCCTCTTTAATAGATGGTGTTGGGAAAATTGGACAGCTACATGCAAAAAAAAAAAAAAGGAAACTAGACCATCAACTTACACCATACACAAGAATAAACTCAAATGAATAAAAGACAAATGTGAGTCATGAATCCATAAAAATCCTAGAAGAAACTGTAGGCAACAAAATTTCAGACATCATACGCAGCAGAATTTTCACTGATACATCACCTAAGGCAACAGAAACAAAGGAGAAAATGAACATATGGAACTACATCAAACTCAAAAGCTTCTGCACAGCAAAAGAAACAACCATCAAAATGGAAAGGCAACCCACTGTATGGAAGAGCATAATTGCCAATGACATATCAGATGAGGGGTTAATGTCCAATATATGTAGAGTGCTCTTACAGTTCAACAAAAGGAAGACAAATAACCCCATTAAAAAATGGGCAGAGGAACTAAATAGACACATCTCCAAACAGGACATACAAATGCCTAAGAGACATGAAGAAATGCTCAACATCACTAATCATTAGAGAGATGCAAATTAAAACAACAATGAGGTATCACCTCACACCTGTCGGAATGACCGCCATCAACAAATCATCAAACAACAAGTGTTGGCGAGGGTGTGGAGAAAAGGGGACTCTAGTACATTGCTGGTGGGAATGCAGACTGGTGCAGCCACTATGGAAAACAATATGGTGTTACCTCAAAAAATTAAAAGTTGAACTTCCATTTGACCCAGTGATCCCACTTCTAGGAATATACCCTAAGAAACCTGAAACACCAATCAGAAAGAATATATGTACCCCCATATTCATAGCAGCACTATTTACAATAGCTAAGATCTGGAAACAGCCCAAGTGTCCATCAGTAGACGAATGGATAAAAAAGTAGTGGTACATATACACAATGGTGTACTATGCAGCTGTAAGAAAGAAAGATCTCTTATCCTTTGAGATGACATGGAGGAACCTGGCTGGAAAGTATTATCCTAAGCGAAACAAGCCAAACAGAGAAAAACAAGTATCATATGATCTCACTTATTTGTGGATTATAATGAACATAACAGTCTGAGGAATGGGGTAGTCCCAGAGACGTGGAAGTGGGGTACAGACTGACAATCCCTAGAAGAGGGGGTGGGGGGAGAGATAAACCACAGAACTTATATGCATGTATGCATGAACATGGACAACAAGGCTGGGGACAGGGCAGGATCAGTGGGGGAAAAAGAGAAACATCTGTAACAAAAATAAATGAAAACAATTCCATGTTACAGAACCTCTACTTAGCTATTTAAAAGCACTATACAATTGGCTAAATGTAGAACGTGCAAGATAATTTTATCAGTTATTTAGTAACTGATGCACTTCTTTCCACTAATTTAATTCTTAATTTAATTCTCCCTTTGAAAACATAGAATCATTTGTCATTTTCCCTTGAAAACTACTATTTAATTACTAAATGGTGAAGTATTGCACATGACATTATGGCATCTTTATAAAAGTTATTTTATATATATTTTTTTCTTTAGTCATTTCCCCTAATAGACATTTAAGGTGTTTCCACCCTTATTTTACTACTATAAATGATAAAAATCGATCATGTAGATTTCATAGATCTTTCCTTATATACATTTCCAAATGTTTAACTTAAGAAATTATATTTCAATTTATTGAAATTCTCTTAATTGATGGAGTTTAATAACAAATATGATTAAGTAAAAGAGATCTAAAGTTATTATTAGCCAGTTATTAACTGTTAATTATTAACAGTTAATTATTTCTGTGTGTGTGTATTTTGGTAAAATTAGCTCATATTTTGTCACCTTTGATATTTCAATCAGACATCTATTTAAAATAATGCATTACAGTGATCAGAATATCAATCATGTGTTCCTTATTCAGAATTGTGTGCCTATACCATCAATGCAGTGATCAAATCTGCAAAATTAAAGTCCAATAGGTAGAGAAGAAAAAGGGTGGGGGAAGGAGTCTAATGATCTAAACACACAGGATTTACAAAATAATGTTTAGATAATGGGATTGCTTCATTTCATTATTTATATGGCAACAACTAGTTGTAACGTTTCCAAACATACCTGTGCTGCGTTTTCACTCACCTTGACTCGTTTGTTCGACTTTGTTGCAGTTGTTCGTCTCACCATGTTCATTGCTATTTGCCAAGATGACACCCACCTTAAATCCTTCCTCATTTGACAACTCAGTGAGCGCTTGTCTCTCCTCCTATCCATACTGGTGTTCCTGAGATGATCACTTATCCCAAGTCAGGTCAATGAAGGCCAAGAAGTATCCATTCCATCCATGATGTCTTTTTATCCCATTGGGTAAGTAACCTTCCACTTGCCTGGTTTGTGGTGCTAAGATTCCCAAAGCTTTGGGCTAACACAGTTTGCTTAGTGCTGAGACTAAGAAAGTAAAAACAGTATTGGGAAACACACAGAGACCCCAAAAACTGAAGACATCACCTGAGCCCCAAACCTAGTTGTGCCTGAAAATTGGGTATTCCTAATCTTTTAATATATGAGCCAATAAACATATTTCTTTTTGTGTAAGCCAAGTTCAGTCAGACTTTAACTCACAATAAACGTCCTACCTTCATGGGTTCTCTGCTTTCCCTCAAAGCACTTGCCAGAGTGTAATTTTAATCATTAATGCCAGCCTCTCTCTTAGACTGTGATCTCCATCAGTATCTCATCTGTTCAGAGCTGCAGCCCTAGTACCTAGAACAGTTCTGATTCATACTGGCACTCCATAATATTGAATGACTGCATAAACAATCACAGCCATTCTTGTCTTAGCTGTGTTCCCAGAGAGTTTAGGACATTAATATTATGGAGTTGTTTTTAGGTGCATGAAAGCCGTCCGTTGTTTCAGGATGATAAAACTTGTACATAGTCATCTTCCACACAATCTCTAATCGAATGAAACCAAGCCCTCTTTCTTTGCTGGGAGAACTTGGGCAAACTATTTCTCTGAGTCTCAGCTTATCAGAAAAAGGTGCTTACCTCAAGGCAGGTACTTGTATAGCCTCTTGTTACCTGGAATTACTAAGAATCTAACCAGATAACCAGGGGAGAAGGGGGAACATGAGTCGGTTGAAAACCCAAGTGCTTGAGTGGACAAAAGCAAAGGCCAGGGCTGCATTACACTGACATTTTTATTAGAATTCATCTGTAACAAATGGAACTTGTGTCAGCAAAGAACTGATTTTCATACAGACTTCTTTCGCCACCAATGTAACGAAGTAAGAAAATAAAAAGCACGCCTTTCATTCTGTAAAACATTTACGCGTACTACTAATTAGAGGTAATTGTATTTTTAACAAGCCATTTTACAAGTTATTTTTTTTTTTAATTTTTCAGTCTATGCATCCAAAACGAGAGCAAAGAACACAACTGTTATTATCTTTGTAGACACTCCAAGCTTGGATGGCAAAGCCACATAACGGATGGATAGGATGGATCTCTAGCCTTCTGATCTCTGCTGGAGTATCAGGGCACCCATAAACCCAGAGGAAACCAAAACCCAAAGGAGGAAAAAGAAAAAGTAAGTAAAAATAAAAAGGAAGGACTAAAACAAAGCAAAACTAAAAGTAAACAGGAAAGAAAAAAAATCTGTACATTACTGCAGACTTTTTCCCCTTCCTGTTTTTACGTTGTTATTTACACACACACAAATGAGTATCTGAAGCAGTTTCTTACAGATGGGTTCAAGTAATAACATTATTGGGTGTAGAATCAATAGGGCAGTGCATAGTACAAAGGTATAGAAAGTGCAAAGTTCCCTAGAGGCCCTTCCCTCCCCTGGCTGTCCTCACCGTTGTCTAACCATGCAAATCATTTTTAAAAAAGAGCTAAAATAAAGTTCTGTACAAATCACTTTTTATATATTTTGATTTTTTTTTACCATTGTAACTAATTACAAAATTATACATAACTACACGTACATAGGTAAATAATAGCACCGTACTGGTTATGATGATGAAAATAATTGCCAACTTGAGTTTATGGTAGATAAAGATGTTTACCTGGGAGAACATAACTAGAATGGTTTGTACAGAAAAGCAGAGTGGAATGCACATCAATGACAGCAGGGAGTTCGTTGTCAGAACAGCTCCTGAACAGTAAGATCTCTGGAATAGTCTCCGCCTTGTTCGTCTATGGTATGCATCCCAGTCACTTCTTCTTAGGGTGATCCTCCTCGTTCCCTTTGCCGAATGGGCAGTTTTTGTCTCAGGGAGAGAAACTGCTCATTGGACAATGGTTGTGGTGTGCAATACACCATCTGACTCTACATGTCGGCACAACGCGACGTCTGTCCAGTGACCCCCTTTGTTTGTTGCTAAATGAAAATTACAGCACTGAGTAATCGGGCACTTGGATAAATCTCCAAAAGGTACGAACTGAAAGGAAACAGACCCACGCAGTGCACATTCTTCTCTGGTTCTGATGTAGGTTAGAGTCTCATTCTGAGGTAGCCTTCTAGATACTTCTTTTAAAAGTATTGTACAGTATTTTTCTTTTTTTTTTTCTTCCTTTTTTAAAAATTTTATTACAAAAGTGCTCATATACGATGCTTGCAAGTGTTTGGTCTCTTGGATTTCGTTCTGTTAGCGATGGGAAAATGTAGAAAACAAAACATCCTTCTATGCCAGAACATCGATGGAGCTAAGATTACACCGATATCAAAACTCTTTAAGAGTTCCTTGGCCAGTTTGAGGATTTTTAAAAATTGTGTAAGATATGGCAAACTCCTGCCATCATCCATGGCTTCCTAGAGTAATCATGGTGGAAAATTTGGGGGAGAGATATATACATTTTTTTTTTCAATTTCCCCTTTTAGAAAAATCCTAGTGGAATAGCAAATATATTTCAAAGCTGTCAATGATGGTTGTTACCGAGATAAGTTTGGTGCAGTTTCTGAATGTTCCAGAGTAGATTTGGAAGGGATTATAAATAAAACTATTAATTTTTCCTGATGTTCACAATTATAAAAGGAGGAAGGGTCCTGATTATCCAAGTGCTTTGGGCTGGTATAGCCACTGACATCCCCGACTGGGTTGAAAACTAGGAATGCATATTACTCAAAGAGTTTTTGTACATGTGGTAAACAGATAATGCTTTAATAGGAAGAGTAACATATACGAACAGCTAATGGAAATATGAACCAAAAGCTAGAAAGAAATGCTATTAAAATAGGCATCAATTATAAGGCACTCTAAATGCAAAACTAAAACCGAAGGAACACAGTACAGCACTTCCCTGGAATGCTGTATGCCACAAAATGTGTGACTGAACAGAGTGACACGGTTTGGCTTTGCCCCTGTTACATATCATAAATGCAAACTTCATAGCACATACTATAGACAATATACGATTGAATACACTGTTTTTTAAACAATTTGATAGCTGATATATTACAACATTCTCCCCTCCTACAGGGATATGCACTGACCTTTCCCACATGCACACCTCTTAGATAGTTAATAATTCTTATTGCACTAGAGTTGTTAGAAATATTGAACTTGGTTGGAAGCCTGGCTAACACAATGGTATTTGTGAGTATGATGAAGTGGTGGGGGGAGATTAGGTAGGAAATTAGGGGGGTGAAGTCTGTCAATCACTGATGTGCATTCCTCATTGTCCTTACAAAATCAAAACTTTGTGATATTAAGAAATACCAATGTCGTAAAATTAACAACAAATTGAAAACTATGTTTACAATAGCTTTTCTACCTTAAAAAATACTAAATCATGGAAGAACTGAATGATAGCTAGCTGTATCATTTTGTATGAACACACTGTCTATATATACATAGACACCCCTATAAAATATGGATATATATGTATATATGTTAGCAGCAACTTTATACTTTGCGCCTCCCTGTTGATTCCCAAAACAAAACCATGTTCTCTTTGATTACTGGAAAAGGATAGGTACTTTCTCCCGAACAGAAGTGTGAAAGTAATATCTGATGAGACCAGATATTGCACAAAAATGTGCAATTTCAAATGATGTGATATTTCTACAGCGAGATATTACAGATAACAGTTGTACAGCTTAAAAAAAAACCTACCATTTGGAAATTAAAAAATGAACAGTTATGTAACCTTTGTAAAATTCGCTTTATAGAATGATAGATACGTTTTGTTAAAAAAAAAAAGTTTACACAGTTAAAAATGAAGCACAGGTCAGCAGTATCTTACAATACTAAAAAACTAAATCAAAGACTTTCTTTTTAAACATTCCCCCCCTCGCCCCCTACAATGTTATGATGAGCAATATGGTGGGAAGGGGTCGAAGCAGAGTTCGTTCTACCACGAGAAGCCACGCCAGCAAACATCCCGCACTGAACCGCAGCACTCGGCAATCCCCCTCGTACCTAGCAAGCGATCCTGGACAAGATGCTGGTTCTTTGTTGTGATTTCTTCTTCCCTTTATGTTGAATCCTTGAGGTATCTGTAAATAAAATCCTCCAGACACCTCATCAGTCAGGATTCTCTTTATTATTTCCAGATTAGATTATTAAACTGAATTCTTGGTCCACCCAGAAGAGTTTGTTTTGTGTGTAATAGTCCCACTAAGTGGTTGTTACCTAGAAGTTAAGAAGGACTTCTCAAGTGCCCTGTATGGCTCAGAAGAGACTCCATGGGTATTGAAGGGCCTGCTGTAAAAATCCAAAATGGGTCAGGGGTTTCTACGTTGCATAGTGATCAAAGCTGCCCAGGTACTCAAGTGAGGCTCGATAGCAGAACTGATACTGGTCCTGAAGGAGAAAAGCATGGGGAGAAAGGGGCCATGAGCACATGTTAACAGAAAAATGAAAATCAATATTGGAAAACAAAGTTGCATCTCAATGGGGCCAAAATCACTACTTTGGTCAATCAATTCAATCCAGTGACCAATCTGTGCTAGTGAGCAAAGAACCATCAGCCACATGGGGTGTTCATTAACTCCCCGATCAATTGGACTGAAATAGTCTCCTAATTCCACGTAGCCACAGCCCAAGTGAACAGTATCTTCCAGAGAAGTGGGAACCATTCTCCAAGTTGTCTTTGACAATTCTCTGCTTATTTGTGATAACGTAACTAATTTGCAGTTTGCATATTTAAGAGAAGCCAATGAGACACGTCCTGAGGAAAATTTCAATTCATTTATCTCTGGGCTATTGCCAACTGAATTTAAATTAAAAAAATTTATTAGACAGTAGACCTTGCTGCCTGTAATCAGAATTACTCAGAATCACTTCTGATGTTAAGTAAGGGAGGTGGAAAATGTGGCTGGTGAGGAATATTAGGCGCACACAGCCATTTACTCAGGATGCTGGACTTGAAGATTTTCAACCCCTGAAAATAGCAACACATAAAAAAAAAATCCCTGTGCCATTGGCCTAATTCAGTATGATCGCTAGCTGTCTGCTCTAAAACAACACGGTGTGAAACGTGTCCTTTTTTTTCAGACAGGGAAGAACACAGTCATCTTGGAGAGATGAAAAAATTATAATTTACAGAGGAGAAAAAAGTAGGATTTCAAAAGAAACTTATTTTCAGTAGCCAATGGGGCTGAAAGTATATAGTTTCTGTTTTGCTTAAATGTGCATTTTTCTACAATAAAAATGGTAATGCAAAATAAATGGAGTTTGCTTTTGTATCTTGTCACAGTAAGTTGCTTGACTAAATGTTAAGGCTTTTTAAATGTCCAAATTCTTTCTGTCACCCCCAACACCCATTAAGTTTGCCAAGCTGACATAATGTTTTGAGTATTGCAGGCCAAATGCTTGCACTATTTTGAGATCAAAGTGTGAAAGATATTGTGAGCGACAAATTTAAGAACACGTATAAATTATAGAATTTGTTGGCCTTCTGAAAAACAGAAACACAATTTCTCACTCACATTATCCTTAGAAATGATTAGTCAATGGACCAGACTGGCTAAATTGTGAAATATTATTCTGAGAAGTATGAGAATATTCATATTAATTATTAGACTAGAAAATGGGAACCTAATTTCTCTAGGATCCAAATATTTAAAAATCACCATTATTAAGAAATGAAATATAGAGCAGTTGGTATGTAACACTTAAGAGATACACAAAGAGACTAGAGAAGTAACATGAGCTGAGGGTCTATTATAAATCAGGCATTATAATTTTCATATATAGTTACATGTAAATATATATATTAGGTTAATATGTATATAAGGAATTATACAACATTTCCATTTTTAGAAGCCAAAAATGGTTCAAGAGTGACAATTTAATATGGTTCAAACTACTATATACTCTCTCATAGCTCCCCAAAGAACTTTAAGACATTGACACTGTCACTTGCATTTAAAGAGGGGGATAAATGAGGTTCAAAATAGTAAACAATCTGATGCTTCTCCTACAACATTTTCCTGTATCTGCCTCTGGACTCTATGAGGGGCTGGCTAATAAAATCTAATATTGGGCTCATGAAGATTTTTCTCACCTCTGTCTGTACCATGGCTGGTCGCTGTGTTCTTAACATTTTGACAGTCTGGAAGATATCTACAACTCCTTCGTATCTCATTCTTTCCAAAACAATGCTGAGTGTTATGAAGACTCCAGTTCTTCCCACGCCCGCACTGTCACGAAAGCAAAGGCAGCGTTACCGGGTGAGATGCTCAGAGCCAGGGCTACACTGACTCGTACGCGGACACAGTCCACCAGCTCTCCTAACACACAGGTTCTTCCACAGCAACACGCGGGGAGAGGTGGTGTTGGGATCGCAAACGACCACTCTTGGGATACGGTGTCGTGATGACATGTGAGAAGAATGTGGAGTAATTAGGATCAAGTCATTTAAAACAAAATGACTTTTCAAATGGGATCACATGCCCTTTTGGAAAGAGCGAGAAAATACACTGTGAAATAAATGAATAAAAAGAAGGGTCAATAACTGTAGGTTTATACTCTTCATGCAGATCTCGAAATTACAGATCTCACCTGCTTCACATTTTTAAAATATGAAATAATGCAGATAAGGTGAAATACACTGAGCATCTTCGAGTTTTCTAGGGCATTATTCACTCCTTGTAGTCACTTACAATCTGTTCAGGATGTCCCTTTACCCAGACATAGAAACAAACAAGAAGGCATAGCGACTCTTCAAATTTAGATGTTTTTGATATGAGAAAAGTGATTCTTTAACAGGGTTTTTTGATATAGGACCCTAATTCAGTCCCCAAAAAAGGTCTATGAATATCTTCTACATATGGATTATTTAAATTATATATATTTTTTGTTTCATACAATATAGCTTTAAATATTTTAAAAAGGGGTCACTAACCTGAAAGAAAGAAAAAAAAAAAAAAAAACCTGGTTAAGAGCTCTTTAGTTCTACAATTATCTATCATTTTTAAATGTTCAAGAATTAAAACACCAGGATTCTTCGCACCATATTAGCAAGGTTTTGAGTTTCTCTGTTTTCTTTATTGTTTAAAGATAATTTCAGAATCCTCAGTGCAGTTAAGAGAAGAAAATTAATTCATAGCTTTTGTGCTCTTAAGAAGTAGGAAAGCATCTGGAGGTTTAGGTAATGAGGAGAACAGTGAATAATCTGAAAAATCCCTGCATTTCCGGATCCTAATTAAACGGCCTGTGTAACGCTTGGGCACAGGCTGTAGAAAATGGATGGATTCATTTACTCGGGGACGGAGCTGACAGGCATATGAATGGTGCATCCCTTTATAAGCCGGGTTTTCTAAAGAGTCCCAACAGAAATGTTAACTGAGACTTTAGAATCCACGGACAGTCTTTACAAAGTGGCTGGAGATGCCCAGGAGCAGTCAAGGCTCTCGGCTGAGATGGAGCAGATGACCTTGAAGGTCCCTTTCAACCTTGACAGTCTCTCTTAATCCTGAGAGACTGTGATTTATGATCTTTTTGTTGAAGGGTCTAGGTACCCTACAGTCTATCTTCCCTTGACTTAATTGCTCAAATGCAACAAAAAGAAAGGTATTTTTTGGCTTTCTACCAGATGCCTTCAGGAGATAACAGATACTGGCCTTATACCTTCTGAATTATTGACTTTATCATGTTCGTTTAGTAAGTTATATATGAGATGAGTGGTGATTTCAGGATAGTCCCAGATAAGAGGAGCTAACTGGAAGTCGGTAAGATGTAGCTGGTACATGAACAACACAGCAGAGCACTTGCACTAGAGGTGTGTTTCCAGTGTTTTGTGATGACAAACACACGGGAAGTCACACACGCACACTCTCCCTTACTTATGGGGATGCTTAACATTAAAAATATGTATTAAATATATCATTTTCTTTATACTGGAAAAGTCTGAACTAGCATTTGGGTAAATTACATGGGACATTAAGGTAATTTAAACCCAATATATACTATCCCCTTTGAACACTGACGTCCACGTGCTATTTCCTACCTGCTCTTTGACCCTGTAGACTCGAGCAAAGGCTTTTGGATAACTCGACACAAAGCAAATGCGTGTAAGTGAGGTCTGTTCCTCGTACACGGCACAGGGCCCGGGAGGCGCAGTGTGTAGCGAGGCTCTCGGGCTCGGCGGAGGGAACGGGGCCCAGAGGACTTCCCCTCGGGCCACAGAGCTCCACGAAGACCCAGCACAGCTAGAGCCAGAAGGAACGCTGGACTCGGGCTGCAACGCGTCTGTTGGAGCCCCCGCCGGTTTGGCTCAGCCATCAGAGCATCAGCCCTTGGACCAAAGAGTTGTGGGTTCAATTCTGGTCAAGGGCACGGACCTCGGTTGCAGTTCGGTCCCCAGCCCTAGCTGGGGTCATGCGGGAAGCAAGCAGTGGATGTGAACACATTGATGTCTCTCTCTCTCTCTCTCTCTCTCCATCCCTCCCCCTCTATCTGATGATAAATGGAAAAACATCCTCGGGTGAGGAAAAAAAATGTCTATTTTGATACCCTGTCTTCCATGTCGCTAGGAAATGTAGTTTGTTTGTTTTCTTCTTTTGAGAGGCAAAATCAATGTAATAAACACTCTCAAGATTTTGACCATGAAAAAATAAAAACAGACTTCAAAAGTTGCCAGAATCCTACAATTTATTTGTTTAAATAAAAATAGGTGAATTCCCTTTGCTGAAAGAGTTTTGTATAGAAATTTCCAAAAGCACTAAATTTATGGTGAATGTTCTTTCTAAACCATTTGCTTTCTATTAACTTCAATACTTGAATTACAAAATCCTGTGGAAACTATTGAAAATAACTTGGAGGTGCTTCATTTTCTGATACAGCCACGATTTTCAGACAAATTATAATTTTAACTGAGGTACCATTCTAATTACTTCTTGACTGGCAAAATTAGTATTGTCATTAAGGCCTGATAACTATCTGGTTTTCCCAAGAAAACAAACACAGAAGCAAGATACCGAAAGATAGTTATCAGTGTAGTGCTATGAATGCAAAACGAGTAAGAAACGATGAACAGAAAACATTTCATGAGGGGATGTACCAATATTTCTGCTAAGGTAAAACAGGCCAGGAAGCCCGGCCAGTGTGGCTCAATGCACTGACCGTCATCCCATGGACTGAGAGGTCCCAGTTTGATTCCTGATCAGGGCACATGCCCGGGTTGCACGCTCGATCTCCAGTAGGGGTGTGCAGGAGGCAGCTGATTGATGTTTCTCTCTCATATGGATGTTTCTCACTCTCTCTCTAAAAGAATCAATGAAAACATATTTTAAAAAAATAGGCCAGGAAACATAGTTTGGTTCTTTGTTACAAGAAGTAAAATTTGGGGATAAAAATCTTCCTCTTTCTACTTTCCTTTTATGGACGGAAAGTGAAATGAGTCTTGCTTTAGGTTTTCTAATACATTTTTGAGAATAAAATTTCAGCTATGCAGATTCACTACAAGAAGCTTGTCCTGACAACAAAGACACCAATACATATTTTCAAAGTTACCACCACATTAATCACAAATGGAAACTCACTACTGATTCTTAACTCACCTGCAATGGACTGAAATGGGTCCATCTTGGCCAAACTGCTCTTTTGTTTTATGGACTTGGCCAATGAAGTCAATAAATCCTTCTCCAGACTTTGGCACGCCTTGCTCTGGCCAGTCGGTGAACTGGAACTGTCTCACTGTTCGGGACTGACCGTCCTTCAGGGACAAAGCCACACCCAGCCACAAAGCACACAGGAGGATTCAGCGGTGCACAGACCACAACAGCAAGTGTGATGGTTTTTCCAGAAAGGAAAAAAAAAAAAAACACAAAAAAAACGTTAGGAGCATCTTTAACTAGGAGCTTAGTTCCATTCATGTCTTATCTGCTATGAACATCTCCATTCACACATATTTACATCACCCACTTGTTTATTCTCACAGTTCCCAGTCACCAACCTCGTAAAGAGCCATCTAGCTCCTATATTAGCACATGTTTCTGAGACCAAAAGTTTGCCTTCAAAACCAACATGGGACCTATACACTCTATTTAAAAAAATGTCAGAATCCAATAACTTCTTAAAACTGAAAGGAGCATCCAGGCATGTCATCTAGAATAGAGTTCGCTACTGACACAACTTTACATCTGCTGTGTGTGCTCATTTCTAGCATTGCGAAATGACAAATGGTGACATGGAAAAGATCTGACACAAATTGGGTAGCTGCTGTTAGCCTGGATGGCCCACGTATCTCGGAGGCACACAATTTCCAGACAGTGGCAGGATACGTGACAGGGGCCATGTGACCCACTATGCTGCCGAGTAGGAGGTGAGCATCCCTCAGGGAGATGAGAGAGATTCTTAGCAAATAAATGTTCTCTTCTCCAAAAGGGCTCCCCCTGGCAGACCACGAGAATTAAGGAACCTATGGGGGTTTTAACTCAGACATATCAAAACACAGAAAGAAAACAAGCGAGGAGGTTTTCTTTTTTTCCTACAGTGATCGGGCAAAACTGCTTTGACTCATGAAGTAGTATAAATGGTTTGAAAAGAAGATACTAAAGGCACCTCTGATTCCTTCCGGAATTTCACAGTCTTTTTGGAAGCACAACAAAGCAGTAGCAGGAATAACAATTGTGCCTATCACCTGTCACCTGTCTCCCCAGAAGAGAGAGAGAGAGAGAGAGAGAGAGAGAGAGAGAGAGAGAGAGAGAGAGAGAGGGCATTTAAATGACAAGCTAGAGTGACTGATCCCATTTAAAGAGGCCCTGCTCCCAGTTAAGGCTTCAACTTGTTCCTCCTTTTCATTTTTGTATCACTTCTTCCCCCACTTATGTCCTTTCAGATACAGGTTAGCATGTTCCCAAGATGCTGGGTAAGTATACAGAGACTCTGTCTTTCTCCTTCATTCTTACTGAGAAGAGGGGACGACTCAAACCGAGATGGGCAGACATCCACCTGCCTGTGATTTCCACCAGAACAGGGCATCTTTCTGACTGGTATCATCTGGGGATGAATATAAAACAGGGAGATCACAACAACTTTGTGAGAACACTGATGAATATGGAAATGAGTGCTTGGCCCCATAGCTAACTGGGTTACCACGGGAGCACGATGGACGTTTCCTGTTTCTGGAAAGGGCTGGGAAAGCCAGAGGCTGGGCCATGCAGACCCGTCCTCTTCTGGATGTCCTGGGGATTTCAGTTCTGACCTCAGCTGCCTTTAATAGCAAGAAGCGATCTGCAGCACCAACCCTTAGACTCTGGAGGCGAGACCACCTGACTCCAGGTATAGGTTACCGGTTTAACCAGACTGTATTCTCAAATGCCCACGTGCTTTCTAAACTGGGAAGTTGAGCTTAGAAACCCAGTAGGAGCACCAACAGCAAATGTCATGGCAGCTAGGAAAATTACTCAATCCCAAGAAGCCTTTGAAAACACACACGCGCACGCACCAGTTTCTGCTTCGCTATATCTTCTGCGCATTGTGGTTAGATTTCGTCGGGGCAAGTGAGGAGTGGAGAAGGCGTCTGGCCTTTTCAGGACCTGGCTACGACTCTTTATCACTAGACATGGCTGCTGGGTTTGCTTAGAATGCAAGTAACATTTTCATTCGCATATCTTGCTTCAGATCCTGAAAGGGCATTGTGATTTTTTAAACAATGGGGTGAGTCACAAAGGCAGGCTCACTCGGGCAGCTCAGAAACGAGACCTAGGAACTGAACTGCTTTTCAGAGTAGTTAAGACTTCAGATTTTCTGGCATTAACAAATCTGTCACCTGGGCCAACCAGCCTGCTAACCAATTTCTCTTTCACTTTAGGTCAACAGCCAGGGCCTCCGCTTTGGGGATTAGCAGACAATCTCTAAACATGAGTATTGGTTGAGAAAGCAGCTTTCCAGAAAAAACAATGGATCAAGTAAATAGCTTTACACTGGAGCTGTACTCGACCCACCCACTGTGACAGCTCCGGAAACAAAGTAGGGCTTGGGACTGCCCCCACCCCCCAAGATGTGTGTGTAATCTTGGTTGCAGAGTGGCTAAAGGCAAGGATATTAAAGTTTATGCACAGAACATCTTACATCAGAGCTGAACTTTGGACTTGGCAATCGAGACAAGAAATGCAGAATGAAAATTAGCCAACAAGGGCGGTGGGTGCACAGCTCTCGTGGACAGACACATTAGCACACGGCGGAATAAACCATGCCAGCAATCAAATTAGAATGTGCAAAGCTTGTCAGATTCCTTTAAAACATGCCATTTGCTCTGCAGTTTTAAAATCATACCAAATTAACCTCCCAGCCCACACGACCTAAAGGGCTTTGCAAAACAACAACATATTTACAGCCTCAAGTAATGAAGAAGTCAGGAAAGTTCCAAAGAGAATGAGCTGAGAAGGTGAATGTAAGCACAGCCAACCAATCAGTGGACGCTTCCCGGCACACACACTCACCAAATGCAATCCCTAAGTTGAGCTGCCAGATGTTACATTTGAAAGGAAGCCAAGCCGGGTTTGTGAGAACACTTGCCAGACAGAAGAATGTTACTCTTACATTAAAAAAAAACAAAAAAAAAATTGTCCACCAGGATGGTTGATTTCTTTTCTCTTTGGGAATATGGTCACTGGCAAATGTTTCTACCAGAGAAGCATTTTAGACGACTTTTCAGCTGATGGTTAGGAGCATAAGACTGTGCCAACTCACCCTGGCATCTGTGACCTTGAATTCCCTTAGGATATATTGTGGCATATTGTACTCGGCCATGGGGTCCACAACAAAGTACTGGTATCTTGCAGATCGTTCTGCTGGCCAGTACTGGTGACATTTCTCCTGAAAGGAGAGCAAATTGAAGTACACTATACAAAATGTAAATAAAGGTTTGTCTGTCATCTAGTCATCTGTATATTTCTTTCTCTCATTAATAAAATTTCAAAATTCAAGCCCAGTCTAATTGCACGTGACTCATTTATTTCTTTTTCATTGAATCCATAAGTTTCCCGAGGACAGGGAGATCCTGTGGTTCGATTCTTGCCCATAGTATCCATAGTATCCCAGCATAGTACTCGGAATATATGAGGTACTATTACACATCTGTCGAATTGAATACTTCGATTGGGTAAGCATCTTCCTACCTACAAGTCATCCAAATAATCACATCAGTCCCTGGACACAGTGCTGGTCACGTCAATCCCGCATTGGACCACCTTAGTAGACCTGCACCGTGTGGTTTGGAATGGAGAGAACCATCGAGTGTGAACATGAAAGAAACCCCTTAATCGATCTGGTCCAATCTCCCTGGTCAGCTGAGGAAACTGGAGCCCAGGCAGGCTGAATGCCTTGGCTAAGTCTCCCAGAGTCAATGACCAAGTCAGAGTAGCCAACTTACTTCTCTAGTTTTTTTGTTTTTCTCTCTATGGGCCCTAAAAAGCAGGGTTTTTAGATACATCTCTACCATTTAATTTATACCAAGAAAAGAGAGAGAACATCTCTCAAGCAAATATAGCAAAATACTTGCTTGCATCTATGGAATTTAAGTGGTAAGCCCCTGTGTGTCTCTGATACATGCTATTTTATGTATATTTTCGGAAAAATCATTGTTTAAAAGTAGATCTGCAATGACCTTGGAAAACCTGTTCAACTTTCCCTCACTTTATTCAGTGGGGGTGGATGGTGAGCAGGTAAGAATTTGCCTCCGGATGGAAGTAAGTCAAGTTCCTCCCTACAGAGCAGTGGTGGTCCGTTTGCGCGTGAAACTCCAGCTTGCCCGGAGTGCAAGGAAATGAGACTGTGGAGAGTCAGGACGTGAGTCAAACAGGGGCATCTGGTTACTTGTTTGTCCCTTTGACTGTGTTTCACCGAAAACAAAATACTAGCTCTTTCTTCAAAACACACAAATGGAAAGAACTGGATAATAACTTAGGCTCTGTAAGTTAAAACCTAACCCAGCGTGATGAATGGCCCAAATGGTTCTGGAGTAGCCTGCATGTCAAAGAAACGGCACTGGCACTTGCGTTACTAAAGGGACATTCTCATTTCTCCATGAAGGAAATGTCTCAGGAGGGGAACTCACTCTGCCCATCTCACGCAGCTTGGTGAGCATCACAACGATGGTGGAATTGTGTTCCCAGAGCATCCGCCAGAAGTCCTCAGTGGTCTCCGCCAAGGGCCCCTGGGTAGCGATGTAGGCTTTCTGTTGTCTGAATGACAGAGAATGCAAATGGCATATTAAAGAGGTCAGAGGACATGCAAACTTCATATTTGCTAGGTAAACATCAAACCCAGTCATAAAAACTGAAAATCTATCATTCATGCAATTGCAGCAAATTTCCGTTAAGATTGTGTCATCAAATAAGAATACCTTCTGGGGACTTTGCAAAAGAAATTGCTTTGTTAATATTATGATGTATGTCTATCATTATTATTTAAATTTTAGTACAACACTTCTAGCTCGATTTCATGTGTCACACAAATCGTTTAAGGAACAGTTGTGTGGTGGTGGTGTCATTTTGAAGACACGCCTCTTACATGTTCTATTCAGTTTATGAAATGTGGGGCAAACCACCTTTCTTATTTACTCCTTCCGTGTTCAAATGGCTTCTGAAGGAAGAGTGCTGAGGGCCAGATAAAAAACACCATGACTGCCCGGCTGGTGTAGCTCGGTGGTTGAGCATTGACCATGTACCAAGAGATTGCTGGTTCTGGTCAGGGCGCATGCCCAGGTTGTAGGCCAGATCCCCAGTGGGAGTCATGCAGGAGGCAGCCAATCAATGTTCTCTCTCGTTTTCCCTTCCTTTCTCTCTAATATCAATAAAGAAAAAATATTATTTTTAATAAAATAAAAACTCCATGACTGTTTCTTCTTACTTCTATCCAAAATGATAGGAAAAAAAAAATACCATGGGACTGAATGCTGACCTCTGCAGAAAGAAAATGCTTTGACTTGAGATAAAATTCATTCTTGCTATGAAAATAGGGCACATGTAAATATCAAGGCTTTGGATTGTTGGGAACAAGAGTATATACCTGTATCCATCAATAAAACTGGCATTGATGTAATCAGATCCTTCCACTCCTCGGATAGGCTGCAGGCATACCCTTGTGGATTCATATGGCATAATATTAACAAGGCGATTTTTGAATTTATTACATGGAAGATTGGCACTGATGAATCTTGAGGTGTGAGCTTTAGAGCTGGCTAGACGCTGTTGAATGAAAAAAAAAAAAAAAATCCGACAAAGATCATTTTAGCCTATGGTTTGAATGCAACGAACCCAAAATTTCCTTTTTAGATATAAAGCTTTTGTTTATGTTAAAGCAAATGACTCTTCAAACTGCACCTTTTCACTTCTGCCTAATGAACTCCATATAGCCTATTGGATTTTTAAATATTATGTTCTGAGAATATGATCTCTCTTTTTAAATTAGGGTACAGAAGAGCTCAAGGTATTGTTAGAAAGCATGGAACAGAAAAAGAAAAGAGGAAGAAAGATTTTATAGTCAGATACCTGAGAAGAAGGTCCAGTGAACCTTGTTAAGTGGACAAATTTGAAAGGCTAAGACAGTGAAGCCATTACTCAGAGGCAATCCCAGAATGACTTGCTCGTGAATGACCACAGCACGACCAGTATCCTACCTTAAATTCGAGCTCCATTCCCGTGACATTCTCTCCCGTCTCTATCTGTGCCAGTTTCTGAATGTAGGCATACAGGTTCCTGGCCGGCACTTCGGTATTTCCGCAAGTCACCGCTTCTAACAGCGCATCGTGGATAAAGATGTACTGGTCTTCTGTCTGAACCATGTAATTCCTCTGGGCTCTCATTAAAGTTGCATGGCCATAAATATCTACAGTTTTTTCATGCTTTATTCTCTCTAACATGGCATCTATTACAATGAAACAACCAGTCCGGCCAACTCCCGCACTACAGGAAAAACAAAGAGAAATGTCTAAATAAATGTATCAGGGAACAAACATATAAGAAACTTATTTTCATTATTCTTACTAACTAGGTTTTAAACCCCCTTAATTCTACTCATATGGCTCTTGTGGTAATTCTATAGCACCCCAAAGTCAAGTATTATCAAGTCACCATAACCAGTGGGTAGGGAACAATATACCAAGTGAAATTAGTTTGGTTTCAACATGTAAAAATATTAAATCCATAATTAATATGCTTGTTGATGACATAGTACAAAGTCGACATTATTTTGAAACAATTAGGAAAACAAACACAAAACATTTAGTCCGTTTATATGAGAAAATATTTTTAAGATGGTCAAGATCTAAATAGGCCATATTATTTTTGCAAACCAGCTTAGTCTAGTTTAGTTTAATTGACAAAAAACAAAACAACAACAAAAAACTAGTAAATCACTCCACTTGAAATATTGTTTTTTTCTTTTTTTATCTTCACCTGATGACATTTTTCCATTTTTTTGTTCAGATAGAGTGGGAAGGAAAGAGAGGAAGAGAGAAAGAGAGAGAAATACCGATGTGAAAGGGACGCATCGAGTGGCTGCTTCCTGCAGGGCCCAACCAGGGCCAGGGACAAACTGCAACCGAGGTACGTGCCCTTAGCGGGAGCCAAACCCGGGTCTCTCTGGACCACAGGCTGATGCTCTAACCGCTGAGCCAAACTGGCCAGGGTGAAATATTTTGTATTTTATTTAATTTTAATTTATTTATTTACAATTTTTTATTTTTTTTTGTTACAGATGTTTCTCCTTTTTTACCCCATTGACACCCCCCTCCCCACCCCCCTCCCCCCATCCCACCCCTGGCTTTGTTGTCCATGTCTATTGGTTATGCATACATGCATATAAGTTCTGAGATTTATTGCTTCCCACCCCCCCCCCCTCTTCTGAGGGATGTCAGTCTGTGCCCTACTTCCATGTTTCTGGGTCTACCGTATTCCTCAGACTGTTATGTTCATTATATTCCGTGTATAAGTGAGATCATGTGGTATTTGTCCTTCTCTGCTTGGCTTATTTCACTTAGGATAATACTTTCTAGGTCCCTCCATGTCGCCTCAAAGGATAAGAGATCTTCCTTTCTTACAGCTGCATAGTACTCCATTGTGTATATGTACCACTGCTTTTTTATCCATTCGTCTACTGATGGACACTTGGCTGTTTTCAGATCTTAGCTATTGTAAATAGTGCTGCTATGAACACGGGGGTACATATATTCTTCCTGATTGGTGTTTCCGGCTTCCTCGGGTATATTCCTAGAAGCGGGATAACTGGGTCAAATGGAAGTTCAATTTTTAATTTTTTGAGGTAACACCATATTGTTTTCCATAGTGGCTGCACCAGTCTGCATTCCCACCAGCAGTGTACTAGAGTCCCCCTTTCTCCATACAAATGGCCAAGAGACATGCTCAACATCACTAATCATCAGAGAGATGTATATTAAAACACCAATGAGGTATCACCTCACACCTGTCAGAATATTTTGTATTTTAAAAGTCAGCAAGAAATTCTAAAACCAACCTAGTGGGAAGCATATAATTAAATAGTAAAATGTTGTTGCACACTAAAAATAGTGCAGGGTATTCTCAGTGAAAAAAAAATCTTAATCAAAAGCAATCACTAGAGAGTATGGGTGTGCTCCCAGTTTTGACTCCCTTTTCTTCCAGAGTGGAATATATTCTGAAATTCCGGGTGAAATTCAAGCATTCCCTGTGGGACAAGGGAAGCCTCACTCTGTGTCTGAAGACGCGCTGAGGCATGTTGTAAACTCCATAACTTCTGGGTCATTTTTCATTTGGTGGAAACTGATTCTAAGAAAAGGAGGTAAGAAAGTCAACAAAGCACAAAGACAAGATCTGCCGTTGCATGGAGACAATCTAATTTACCGAACTGGGTCACAGGGTCAGGCAGTTGAAACATTGGCATGTCCTCCCGTGTCGAAAAACATATTAACAAAATAACACATCTGTGTTCTTCAATCCCGAGGTAAGCCTTGTTTTTTCTCTTATTTTATCAAATCCTTTAGGCTGAGTCTATTTATGTGTCAAGTATGGTTGAATCAAAAATTCTTGCTCATGAATGGCTACTTAGCTGAGAAACATGTAAACAACAAGTATAGATATATATGTCACCAGCTTAGATACAAAGCAACAGACAGTCTCCTTCATTGGCTACCTGCCACTGTCTCCTGTCACTTGTTGCACACCTGTGTTCATTTATTTGTCCACCTGTCCACCTCTTCGTTCAATGCACAATGAAGTACTGTGCTAAGTAACATAGGGAATACAACATTAAAGATGACTTAGATCCTACCTTAAAGACCTCAGTCTACTTTACATAACTATTTATAATGCAAGAAAGAAAGGATATGTTACTTTGGGGGGTGGGGTGGCATTTGCACCAAGAATTGAAGAACAGTAAGGATGGTGAGTGGAGCAGGTTGCATAGCAAAAGAGCAGGATGGTGTTTGCAACCACACTGCTGGCTCTGGGAGCTCCATGGGACACCGATAGGCTAGTGAGTCACCTGTGCAAAGAACGCACAAGAACTCTGAATGAATGAGTTTAATGAGCACAAGGGTGCGATTCAACTTAAATGGTAATTTCTCTCTAGTGCCAAGTAGCTGCAAGGTGGGAAGTGAACATTTTGCAACAAGTAATACCTTTAAACTACTGAGCAGTAGAGATCGAATCCAACTTCCACGCAGGGGCCCTGATGTTAGCAGATGAGGGGAAATAGGAATATGATATAACCACTATTTAAAAATTGCTTACATCTTTTTATGTCCTATCAGGCACAAAAAAATGACTGTATCTAATCAGAAAGCCTCTGGCTACTGATCCTAAGCCTCCATTCAAGGTTTAAACCACAAAAGGACAAGATGTTGAGATGGGATGTAAAAGACTTCTGGGACAAGGAGTCATAGACATGATAGCACGTTTCTTAGCACAAAACAGTTGGAAACCTGATTCAGTGAGAACCACAAAGTCCCACTTTATTTAGTTGGTTCTACCACACAAACCTGTGAAATGGCAAATTTTCCCTGACACCCTCCACCCTCCCATCTCCCACCCCGCAGGCAGGATCCATCACCCTACGTCCCAAATCCTTGGTGTCTTCAGTATCACTCTACTGCAGTCCCAGTCATGACGAATTATTAATTAGCCTGGCAGGGCTGTCATCCATAAATAACAGAACATCTTTCGAGAGCAGAAACTGCGTTTCTGTTACCTCTGTGTGCCTTGCATCAAGCATGCAGTCAGTGGTGACCAAAGTTTAGGAAGGAGGTAAATGAGCGAGAGGCTGGCACCGGAGGGCTATGCAATGAGCAGCCCATCCAGATTCATAAGCCCACTCGGGAGGCAGGACTGTCCAGTCAGTGAAAGAAATGCCACGTTTGAGCAAGGTTCAGAGCTATGCAGAGGCTGCCTGAGGACTGCTCTTCAACCGCTCGAAAAAGCAATCGGAAGACAGGAAAACACCTTGTCATCTCCATGTCTTGATCTCTTGAGAGGCCGTCGCGATGCAATGAAAGGAAACTCAGTAAGACAATCTGGAAAAGGGGGGCAACCTCCATGTTTGGAAGGTTCTAAGACTAGAATAATATCTTCTTCTTTTTGTCCATGTTGTCTTTCCTCATGCTAACTGGGCACTGCTTCTAAATGGGTACGACCTCATGCAACTCTCCCTAGTGGAAACCACACAGTAAAGCCTAATAACTGAGCCCTATCTGTCAAATCAATTCTAGATATTGGCAAGCATATTTCCACAAAATATGCACCAGGAACCATTCCAAATGTCTGGATTATGCATAGTTCTATATTCTGGCAGAAAGACACCATAGAACCTGGCAAAACTGTTAGAAATAACTCCAGATTAAAGTGATAAAATAACAACCTTTTCACGGTGGTAATGAGGCATTTTTCCCCCCAAAATGGGGGAAGAAAAAAATCAAATGTGTGCCTGAGTTTAAATCATGAACTGTTGTAAGATTAAAAAAATGAGATTATGATGTGAAAAAAATGGATCCCCCCCCCCAAACACAAAATATTATTAACTGCCCAATCCTGGGGTTCAGATGGAAGACAGGGAAGGAGCTGACCCTTGGAACCTGTGAGTTACCTCTTCTCTATGGAAGAGGGGTCTCTTAATTTTGAGCAAGACCATGAGATTCAAGATACTTTTCCAGATGCCAATGGCTGGGTGTCCTTGAGAAGTCACTTAATCTTTTCCTGTTTTTCTTAAATCATGATAGTGAATATTAACATAAAGGAAGAGGTAGTTACTTTGCAGGTACAGATTCTGACCTCTGACGACAAGGGACCGGCAACGTTAACTCTGGGAAAATTATGACAGAATCACTGCTGGATAATTTAAAATCAGGCTTTCAAAATCTTGCTTTAATCTACCTCCTCGAGCTACTTTCTCTTGTCTCCCCTTATCTCCAATCAAGGGGTTCCTGCTTTCCCGCATACCGAATGGGAGACGAGATGGCAGTGAGTGTCTTCCCACCAGGGCCTTGGTGCCCGGGAGGCGTTTGGCAAAGGCGTCTGTTTCCTTTTCCTTGCTGTGAGTCGTGACATTTGGGAACTGCCCTGAACTCACAGTGCTCATGGCAAATGGCCAAATGGGGACTCGAACGCAGCTCTGAGACACTCAACTCTAGACACTCGACCACATTTTCTGGTTCCACCACTGCTTCCTTCATTGCTTTCTGTCACCTGGGTCAGCACCAATTGCCAAACATGGTGACTTTCTTGGGGCTCACCCCTCAATAACATTCCTTTAGTGGCGTTTATTCCTAATGCAGGGTCCTTGGTTTCTTCCTTGATTTTTATGACACCGAGGGAGTATGGGAAACATCAGAGGGAACTATCCCTTTGGGGTTGATGATAGGAAGGGAGAACATTTTATGATCTCAAGCACAAAACAACCCGAGACAGGTAGCACA